GGTAGACAGACAGTCAGGCAGGTAGATAGATGGACAAACAGACAGGTAGATAGATGGACACATAGATAGATATAGATAGATAGATAGATAGGAGAGAGAGACAGGCAGGCAGACAGATAGACAGTTAGGTAGATAGGTAGACATACAGACAGAGAGACAGACAGACAGGTAGATAGCTGGACACGTAGATAGGTAGACAGACAGACAGATAGGTAGGTAGATAGGTAGATAGAGACAGACTGGCAGGCAGGCAGGCAGACAGATAGACAGGTAGGTAGATGGACATGTAGATAGATAGTTCCATAGGAAGAAAGCCACCCAGACTGAATCCTGGCACCAGGAGGGACCCCAGAGGCAATCTAGCCGTCCCCTTTCCCGCCCCCACCCGATCCCTCCCCACAGATGGCCATCCAGGCTCTGGTGGAAGCTTCCAACCAGGAGTATGCGGGGATGATGGGATGTGGATGTGCCATCCAAGGGGAGAAAGGCCTGGGCCAGCTTGGGCCTTCCCTTCAGGACTTTTGGAGCTTTGGACTCCAACTCCCATCATTCCTCACAGCCTCAGGCCCTTTCCTTTCCCCCCTCAGCCGCTTAAGCTGATGGGAGTTGGAGTCCAAAGCTCCAAAAGTCCTGAAGGGAAGGCCCAAGCCGGCCCAGGCTTGGTCTAGATCCAACTGGAGGGCCCAGGCTGGCCTAGAACAACGACAGGGCCGAGCAGGCCTCTTTTCCTCACCGACTCGGCGGCCGCTTCCTGCTCGTCCACGGCCAGCGCCCAGGAATCCGTCGCCATGCTGCCGGCCAGGGAGGAAGGCAGGAAAGGAAGGGAAGGGAAATTCAGCACTGCGCATGCGCGGCCCGCTCACGCTGCGTGCTTACGTCCTTACGTGCGTAAAGTCCGTGTGGAAACGCGCTCCTCCTTCTCTAGAGTTCCGGGGTTGCTGAGTGCCCATTGAAGGAAGACACTGCGCATGCGCGGCTAGTTCGCGCTGCGTGCTTGCGTCCCTACGTGCGTAAAGTCCGTGTGGAAACGCGCTCCTCTTTCCCTAACGTTCCGGGCTTGTTGAGTTCCCATTGATTATTATGATTATTATGATTTACAATGATAAAAAATATCATTGTAAAAATCATTATTATTATATTTGCATAGACATGAATAAATTATATATCTTATATAATATATATATGATATATAATAAAATATAATAATAGTAAAGCTGTAAAAATATTTTAATTTTAAAATATATCAAAATTATTATATTTTACTATACTATTATTATATTATTATATATTATATTATATTATATTATATATTATTATATTATATTATAAATTATAATAATATAAATTATTATATAATATAATATTATATATTATTATATTATATTATAAAATTAAAATGCTATTTATATATTTACTATTATTATATTTCTCCAGCAAAGGATCACCGCCTTGTGTATTATTATATCATATAAAATATTATATTTTATATAATATTATATTATATAAACAATATTTTATTGTATTATGTATTCATGTATATTATATTTAATTATATTACATTGTTTATTATATAATTATACATATAATATTATTTATTTTTAATTATTATCTACTACTTTGGGTACCTGGCATATTGTTATATGTGATTATATATTATAGTATATATTGATATATTATATATTATTTAATTATTTAATAATATAGATTAAAATATATATTATTAAATTATTTAATAATATAGATTAAAATATATTAATATATACTATATATACTATAATATATACTATATATATAGTATTATATATACTATATATACTATAATATATATCATATATAACTATGCGGGGTACACAAAGTAGTAGATAATAATTAACAATAAATAATATTATAAATACATAATATTGTACAAGAAATAAATTGTTACATTATAATTATTTATTATATATTTAATAAATTTAGTATAATTCAGTTTTTAACTTTATATATATATATATATATATATAGTTAAAAACTTAATTATACTAAATTTATTAAATTTATAATAAATAATATAATATAATAAAGATATAAATATAATAAATAAATATTTATAATATATTCATATATTATTATAAATAAATAATATATTATATATATATTGTACATTATTTTATGTATTATTGTTTATATAATAAATAATACATAAAATAATATATAATTATATAAACAATATCATGTTATATTACATATTCAAATATATTATATTTAATTATATTTCATTGTTTAGTATATAATTTTATATATTATATTATTTATTGTTATTTATTATCGACTACTTTGGGTACCTGGCATTGCCCGGGTTATTTGAAAAATGTCAATGTTTTAATTGTCCAAAATGCATCAGGTTGTGGGTGAACTACAGATCCCATCATGCCAGGTTAACCCCGAGCAATTCCACCAGTCCTTAAAGTTTGTTATGTTGGGCAAGTTTGCTCTATATTGAAGACCTTCCTGTCCTTCCTCATTGGGGGTGTTCATTGAGCTCTCTGGCTGTAGGGTAAACTACAACTCCCATTATGGTGAGTCGGTTCTCTCAAATCCCTCCAGTAGGTTGAGTTAGTCTTGAGGGTTCTGTGTGCCAAGTGTGGTCCAGGTCCATCATCAGTGGAGGTCACTATTTCTCTGTTGTGGGTGAACTACAACTCCCAGAAAAGAAGGTCCAGTTCCCTCCAAACCCCTCCAGTAATCAAATTTTGGCATATCAGGTATGTGTGCCAAGTTTGGTCCAGATCCATTGGTGTTTGGGTTCACAGTGCTCTCTGGATGTAGGTGAACTACAACTCCCCCAAATCAAGGTGAATTTTCCCCAAGACCTCCAGTATTTATTGCTGGTCATTGAGGCTCTGTGTGCCAAGTTTGGTCCAAGTCCATCTTTGGTGGAGTTCAGAGTGCTCATTGATTGCAGGTGAACTATAAATCCCAGTACCCACAACTCCAAAATGTCCAAGCCAATTCCCCTCAGAACCCACCAGTATTCAAACTTGGGCATATTGGGTATGCATGTTTGGTCCAGATCCATCATTGTTTGGATTTGTAGTGCACTCTGGATGTCGGTGAACTACAACTCCTTAAATCCCTCCAAAGACCTCCAGTATGTTTTGTTGGTCATGGGGCTTCTGTGTGCCAAGTTAGTTCCAGGCCATCTTTAGTGGAGTTCAGAGTGAAGTTCTTAGATTGCAGGTGAACTATACATCCCAGGACCTACAACTCCTATAAATCAAGGTGAATTCTCCCCAAACCTCTCTAGTATGTTCAGTTGCTGATCAATTCCTCCGTTTCCTCTGTGTCATAGAAAATAACGAAAGGGTTAAGGGAGAGGCAGTGGGCGGGCTCATGCAAATTCCAAACCAATGGAGAGAGTAAGGAACACTGGGATGTCTGCGGTGGAGGAGGATAATAATAATAATAATAATAATAATAATAATAATAATAATAGACCTTCAGTTAACCAGCATCCGTAGTGACTGGAAGATATAATAATAATAATACACATTCCAAACCAATGGAGAGAGTAAGCAACACTGGGATGTCTGTGGTGGAGGAAAATAATAATAATAATAATAATAATAATAATAATAATAAAAAATAGATCTTCAGTTAACCAGCATCCATAGAGATTGGAAGATAATAATAATAATAATAATAATAATAATAATAATAATAATAATGCAAATTCCACACCAATGGTGTGGAACACTGGGATGTCTGTGGTGGAGGAAAATAATAATAATAATAATAATTATAATAATTATAATAATAATAATAATAATAGACCTTCAGTTAACCAGCGTCCATAGAGATTGGAAGATATAATAATAATAATAATAATAATAATAATAATAATAATGCAAATTCCACACCAATGGTGAGAGTGAGGAACACTGGGATGTCTGTGGTGGAGGATAATAATAATAATAATAATAATAATAATAATAATAATAATAATAATAGACTTTCAGTTAACCAGCATCCATAGAGATTGAAAGATATAGTAGTAGTATTGGAAGAAATAATAATAATAATAATAATAATAATAATAATAATAATATTAGTAGTAACAACAATACAAATTCCACACTAATGGAGAGAGTCAGAAACACTGGGATGCCTGTGGTGGAGGAAACTAATAATAATAATAATAATAATAATAATAATAATAATAATAATATAAATTCCACACTAATGGAGAGAGTCAGAAACACTGGGATGCCTGTGGTGGAGGAAACACATAATAATAATAATAATAATAATAATAATAATAATAATAATAGACTTTGAGTTAACTGAGATGCCTGTGGTGTTGTTGAAATACATAACAACAACAGACTTTCAGTTAACCAGCATCCATAGAGATCCATATAATAATAATAATAATAACAACAACAACAACAACAAT